GGCTTTGGAGGCTGTCCTGGAACTAGCTCTTGTAGACCCGGCTGGTCTCGAACTCACAGAGATCCACCTGCCTCTGCCTCCCGAGTGCCAGGATTAAAGGCATGTGCCACCAATGCCCAGCCGTACATCCTTCTGCTGACAGACACTTTGGCTGATTCTAAAAAGGTGCCAATTGGCACTCAAGGTCTCCCTTCACCTTGAGTCTACTAAGGAAGGATGTTACCTTAGAAACCTTCCAATAAGAATTTCCTTACCGTCCTGAATACCTTTCTGACTGGGAGGAAGTGGGTTATAATATAAATACCTACAAACACACAAAGGACCTGCAGCCATTTTTCCCAGCAGTGGGGTTGAACCCAAGGATTGCACATTTAAGCAAACACTGAGCTGCACCCCAGCCCTTTTCATATGTTATCAATAATGCTGGTGTTCTCTGAAACTTCCAGCTCGTCCTAGCTGTGGGAAGTCCAAGCTTAGTTCTGACACATGCAGATCTGAAGCAAGAGCCTCTACGGAGTGAACACTTGAACACATTTTCTCATGTTTTACATGGATACTGTTCATTTTCAGTTTTCTGCTTCTTGAGTTGATTTGGGGGGCTTTGAGTTTCTCAGAAAAGTATACATTTCAACACAATTACCAAATCAATTAGGACACAAATCATCATCTTCTTTGCATTTTCAAACACCCCCTACAACCATCATATCTCTTCCAAGTACCCAATTTTATTTCTTTTTTGATATACAAGACATTGGTTAATCATTTTTGTTAAGAAGTGTCCCATACATTTTTGCAACATGAAAATATTCTCATTAATCCCTTTCTAGTTCTTTTTCAATTCTTGCCTGTTTTCTACCTTCATTAAAATGTTTCCTTTGTAAACTGGCATTATTCTTTTCAAAATCTTCAGCCAATTGATGGCTTAGTTCCAACATTGGTTTGAGAGTCACTCAGAAAATAATTTTAAAATTGGTGTCAAAATGCTATCTGCCACTGAACTGGAGTGGAATAGATGGGCTTTCTGGCTTTAGAGACCCCATTGGGGGTTGTGGATATTGCTACATGGGTAAAATGTTTGCACTCGGGTAAACAGCCTGGCATGATAGCATGTCCCTGTAACTCATCACTGATGGTGGAAGTGGAGATAGAAAGCTCCCTGGAACTTGCAAACCAGCCAGCCAGCCAGCCAGCCCAGCTGAACCAACAAGCTAGCAGCCAATGAGAGACCTTGCCTCAAAAAGCAAGGTGGATGTCTCCCGAGTATAACACCTCAAGTTACCTCAGGCCTCCACATACTCTTACATCCACAGCCAAACAAATGTGCACCCAAACACACATGCACTGACACATGCACATATGCATGAACACACACACACACACACACACACACACACACACTCATGCACACACAAATACATATACACACGAAATATGGAACATGATCAGAGTGTATGCATGCAGTGCCCATGCCTTCAGTCTGTGTACACCACGTACTCTGTGAGCATCCTGATGAAAGGTGTTGTATTTGTCTCCCTGTCTGATCCATGCACTAAAGCATGGTGCCTGGCATGTAGTCATCAAGTAAATGCTCGGTGTGTTGAAATAGTTAAATCTAACTGCTGCAACAGCAGGTATCGAAGTATTTCAAAATGTCCATGAATACCAAGCTCTCCCTGTAAGACAACAGGTTCTCAACATGTGGGTTGTGACCCCTTTTGGGGTCGACTGACCATTTCACTGGGGTCATATATCAGATATTCTACATAACAAATATTTACATTATGATTCATAACAGTGGCAAAATTACAGTTATGAAGTAGCAATAAAATAATATTATGGTCAGAGGTCACCATAGCTTGAGGAATTGTGTTAAAGAGTCACTACATCAAGAAGGTTGAGAATCACTGTTGCAAGCCCCCTGTATGACAGAAACCACAACCAATGCTTTGCACTGGTTATCTCTGGTACGGACTTGGGCTGCTTCTTTACAAACACTTGGGCTGCTTGGGCAGTAGAGGAAGGCTGCACTGTAACAAGAACCCCCCAAAAAAAGGATCCATGTGCCTGGCCAGAGATGGTGCTACTGTTTCTATAGCTATGGGTTACTGAGCTGGAGAAGGTTGGACAGGTCAGACCTGATGAATGAAACTATAGATGAACAAGCCAGCTTTTGTCACCCCATCTCCCCTACTGGGGCTCACTCACCTCTCAGGACTTTCACAATAACCTGGACAAACTGTGTAAGGAAAAAAAAAAAAAACAAGTACAGTCTAATAACACAGCAGCAACCACGCCAGCTCTCAGCATTACCCTCACCTCCTACCTGTCCTTGCCACTTCCGTTCTTCAGATTCACATCTGTGCCATTGGAAACTAGGATCTTCACAAGCCTGGAGGGGAGGAAATTGACAATAGTGAGAAAAATGGCTTTGGTGACTTGGAGCCCATGGTAACCCAATGGAATTTAATAATCTGACATTCAAGGCATCTTACCACAACTTCTTCTCTACCATTCTGAAGACAGGAAGTTCTGTTAAACTGGAAAACCACTGATCCCCACCAAAAACAGGGTCCTAGCCTTCCATGAATCCTGCCCATACCGCAGAAACAGTTCATGTCATTTTAATGGGCATTTTTAATATGAGATCAAACAGAAACACTTAATGAGAACACATTTCAAGTGTCACTCAAAATGGCATTGTTGCACTTAAAAGATAAATATGATTGAAAGATAAGATGTCAGCACTTACAGCCAGCCCTGTGGGACAGATAATGGCAACCTCAAGGAGAAGTAAGTCCGTTCCCAAATTGCCCTCACACCCACTTTTGTTTAAAGAAATTCAAATTCCAATCTTGACTGTTCCCAAGACTTGTACCACATATGGTGTGAGACTAAACACAAATTAGTCTGTGTGCTGCCTAACCCAGCACAAGCACCCGAATGGAAGCCATTTCAGGAGACAGTTTGGGGAAAGGAAAAGAAGCTGCCATCCCATGCTGGCTACAACCAAAACTACAGGGAGAAGCCATACCTGGTATAGCCTTTCTGAGCAGCAACCATGAGGGCAGTAAAGCCAAACTTGTTGGGGACATCCACCTTTATAGTGCTTAAGAAAAAAGAGAGAAGAGTTTGTCATTTCACAGCACTTTGCAGGGCCCATGGTGGTTTGGGGTGGGGGTGGGGGCTCAAGCAGTTCATTTTACCAAAACTGTCAGTTTCTCTTGGGCCATTACATTTTTGTTGTCTTACAATGTCCTAGTGGTTTTAAAGGTTCAAGTTTTCATGAAAAACATTGCCATTTTACTTGGAACAGGAGCTTCCTTCAACTCAAAAGCCATTATGTCTTGCCATTGAATAGTCTATGACCAGCAAAGCCCCTTGGAATGAGCTGGGGACAGCATGGCACCAATGCTCAGCTCCACCATGGGTAGAGATATAGCCAGGGCCTGGGCTGTTCCCTTGGCTGTGTATTGCTGCTGCCAGGGAAGAAAATGTGGCTCATGCTATCAGCCAAGGAGCTCGGCATTCTGTGGAAGCTCCTCTTCAACTTACCAAATCCCAGTTCAGACACCACCACCTTTTGAAGTGCACAAAACCATGCTGTAGAAGACTCCACATCTGTGTGGGAGGCATCACTCCTGCAGCAGCCATGTCCCCCCACTTTTTTCTAGTGTCCTACCAACCTTCTAGTGTCCATGACAGCTGGTTTGCTGATTCCCAGCATCACCTGGTATTACATGTGGGCATTTCAGACTGACCTGTACTAAATTTTGGGCTGGATAATCAAAGCATAATAATTGCTTCTGGGGCCAAAGCGTGGTGCCCAGACCTGTAGTTTCCTTTTATAGTTTTCATTTCAAAAAATCCCAAACCATATCATTTACAGGGGGTCTCTATGACTCCATATTAACTAGACTTCCCTTAACAAGTCACCCAAGGTAAATATAGGAGGAGCTTTTGCAGGCACTGGAGAATTTATCTAGGAAAACAAAGCTGTGCTGTGTATGCCTGTATCCCTAAGGGGCATTGGAAGGAAGACCAGAAAAGCTGGCTGCGCTCTCACCCTCCTTCCAGTATTCGAAGCAGGAGATCTTCGTCATTCACATTGACAGCACGATGGAAGTGCTCACTACTTATGGGCTCCCCTAAAGAAAGCAGATGGAGAGCAGTCATCCAAAATGTGGAGTGGGCAGTTTGAACTCCTTCTCTCCTGGGGCCTTGGGTGGATGTTCACCTTCACTTCCAAGAAAGCATGGAGTTGTCCCTGTCAGTAGGGCTCGAATTTCCTGCTCAATGGCTTCTTTTACTGGGAAAGACCTGTTTTTTGTGTGGTAAGAGAAACTTCACAGATTGGCCCAAAGAACTGGGACATTTTTCAAGTCATAAGGTCCTGCTTTGTGAGTGCTACCATCGTAAGAATCCTTCCTAATGCCTTCTGTGACCAAGGAAACCCCAGCAATTACCACAACGTGCTGCTTTCTTTTACCAAAGTGGCTAAAATATTTCAACAACATGGACGATTGCTTTAGCTCCCTGCATTTGGAGAGCAGATGGGGTTCACACTCACAGGGAAGTGGGGAGCATGTGAAAAACCCCTTAAAGGAAGATGGTAGTCTGCCAAGTGGGGAATGGTGAGGACAACTGGCCTAAGGAGACAAAAAGATCAGTGGGAAACAGAGGGGCATTGGCTGGCACAGGGACATGGCCATCAGTTCTGAGGGGGTGCGGGGGAGGATATCAACAGGCTCGGCCTCAATACAGCTGGCCATGGGAAGACATTCTCTTCCAACTACCAGTCTAGGGTTTCACTCCTTCCGTAGTCCATGCCTTTCAAATCAACATGACCGAGCTCAAAGATACATAAGTGATGCAATTGTAAATGCCCAACATACCTGCTGCTGTCTAGTACCATACTCCCTCATTCTCTCACAGCGCCCTTCCCACATCTGCAATGCCTGCCTGGCTTCAGTCTTTGGCTCCTGATCTAAGTTATACCACTGGATGCTCAACCAATAGCACCACAGTGGTCTCTGAGAAAATGGGATAAACAAGATCTCCCCTCCCCTGCCGACATATTTCTGATTAACATTACCACCAGTTTCAAAGAGTTACTACTCAAGGTTGAAAAGGAAAATCGCTGGTCCTTCCCCATCACACAGCTCTGAACCAGACTCCCTCCTGAGGTGCCCCCAACCCTGCCGTTCCCTTTCACAGCCCACTGGCAGAACCAGATGGCAGCCCTTTTCCTGTTCCAATCTCTCTGGGACATCGACTCCCAGGCACTGGAGTCCTCACTAGGTGACAGACATTCAAAGTGACCAAGTGACCAGACTGTGGGAAGGGTGGTTAAAACTGGGAGCAGGGGGGTCAGATTGGCCACAGCTGATTTCCTCTCTCTTTAGATAAAAATCAATTGATGCCAACTTAAATTGCTTTGAAACTGCTGTCTTCTAAAGTTTACCAATCTCTGAAAGATCTCTTCAGTCATATTATACACCTTTTTCATCATTTCACACATCCTTAGACCAAAGGCTTCATTCAAATCAAGGTATTGTGCTAAGTTTTCAAAGCCAAGGCCCTGGGCCAGCCTTGTTCTTCTAAGGAACGTCTTGCCCAGCCCAGGTATTTCACTAAAGAGACTCAGAGGAGGGTTTTATACTCTCAAGGACATTTGACTCGTGTCTAAAGACCTCTGTTGTCACAACTTGGGAGATGCTACTGGCATCTAGCAGAGTAGGGTCAAGGATGCTGCTTAGCATCCTGTAACCCACAGGACAGTTTGCCACCACTCAGGATCTAACCAGACTTCAGAATGTCAACAGTGTCATAGATGAGGACCCCAGCTACATTGAAGTGGACTCATCCATAGACCATTGTGTGACCTCTACACTTTAGGGGATTTTCCTCCCTCTGCACCTTCCTTCCTTCCTACATAAAGGGAGAGGCTGTGTGCCTATAAGAAGCCTATTATCTACAAAAGAGCCCCTTTTTTGTATCTCTCAGGATTCAGCTGCCACAAAAGCAAGTTACAGAGTCATGCGTGGGAGTGTCGGAAGTTCATCTGGTCTCTTCTGAACTTTTCAATGTGGTGAGTATTCTAAATCTACACTTAATAATAAGGACTCCACATTCTTAAACTCTCCTCCAAGCTACAAAATTGGGTCTGAGCAATGCTAAGCTGTCCAAGGTCATCGGTTTGGAGTAGGCAGCATCAGAGTTCATGGCCAAGTCTCACCTGGGACCATAATTAAATAGGCATTGGGGTATCTGATTCATAGTTATGTTTCTATTCTTATTATGTTTTAAAATACAAAATCAAAATAAATGTAAGTCAAATGTAAGTCCCCCCTATCCTACCCAACAAGTGTCAAATAAAAGTGGATGCCTAAAAAAGCTTCAGGGAATGTGGACTTGAGATATTCAGAGCAAGGTCTGGAAGCACCTGTAGCAGTCCCCCATCTCTGCACTGGCTACCTGTGCTCCACGTCACTGCACACCTACCTCACTGCACTCCCACCTCACCACACAGTGCCGCACCACACTTCCTGCCGCATCCAGGAAGTGCCTCTGTACAAAAATATTAGGAAACAAAACAAGCTCATCTCAGGCTCATGAGCTTGAGGGCTGTGTGCAACAAAGATGTCTAGGTATTATGACACAGCTAAAATAAATGTGCTGTCTACTCCCTCTTCTACTAGGGATCCTCAGTGTTTCACATGGGATTCTGGGAACAAAGGGACCCCCTCACAGAGACAGAGGAAAGCAGCACCCTTGCTCATACACCTTACTTGCTAAGTCTTGCCCAAAGGGGGGCAGGGAAACCATAGGTCAGTTAATGAGAGTCCTTCTTCAGTGACAGCTCAGTCAGTACTCCCCAACTACCAAAATGCTATCCCCGGAAGACAAAGGAAGAGCCAAGAATCCCACTGGAACCATGTGTATATCAGCCTAGGAAAACCTATTGACATGGGCTGGTGGCATGCTTAGGAGGATAAAGACACCTGCTATGAAAACCTGGGAATCTGAATGTCATGCCAGATCCCATGTGAAGGTAGACAGAGAACATCAACTTCATAAAGTTGTTCTCTGGCACACACACACACACACACACACACACACACACACACACACACACACACACA